ACCACAAAAACACAATACGAGAATAAAAATGCACGAAACACGATAAAATGGACCGGTTGACACTAAAACGAACCTAAAAACACTAAACTCAAGCACATAAAACACACGAATATAAGCACAAAATCACAATAAACAATAAACCTAGATAATAATCGTCCTAATCACTCCATTTGAAAAAAGTAGCTCATTATTAAAAAAAAAAAGAATGGGGAGCTGACTTATCGATTCATGTTTCTCATGTTTATATGTTGAGTAGACCTTTTATAGTTTTTGCACGTGTATGTAGAAAAAGGGAGTTTGGATTGAGTAATCATGTGTAGAATGACTTGGGACGGATTTTTGTTTTGTATAGATTCATTATGTGGGGCGTTGTTTTCGGATTGGAGTTTGATTTTATGGATAACTGGATGAAGATGAGAGTTTCATTTTGCATGTTCGTTAAGTTTGGACTTTTCGATTTTTCTTTTCCAGCTACTTGTTGTTTGTTTGCTTGAGGACAATCAAAGAGTTAAGTGTGGGGGAGTTGTTTGTTATGTTTTTGTGGTATTTTCAATGTTTTATGTGCTTTACTAGAGTCATTTTTAGGTTCGTTTGAGTGTCAACTGGTCCGTTTTATCATGTATTGTGTGTTTTCATTCTCGTTATGTGTTTTTGTATTTTGTCGTATTTTTGCGACTCTTTTGGTGTGTTGATAAGGTCCATTTTTCCGAGTTTGGAAAGTCGAGCCGACTGAGCTATTTTTGAGCCACCCGAACCACCCGTGCCATCCTGGGCCAATTCCAAGACAAGACTCGTGCATTAGCCATTCGCAGCAAACATTGATTTTAGACCGGTGAACCAGCTGCGTGCCCCAGAAGCACAAGGCGCCCACTCGCTGCGAATCCTCTTCCGCGACACGCCAAGCACCCGAGGACCCATGTCATGCACTCGCTGAGATCGATATTTCGTGCCCCGCGAGCATCTACGCATGACAGATCAAGGCCTCCCACACTCGCAGCGGACTTCACTTAGCGACCCGCGAGCGGCCATCTGCGGAGCTCCCTAGTGCCACACTCGCAGGGGCTCAAGGTTTGTGACTGGCGAAATGCGACCTGCGGCAGCAAGGCCCTACACTCGCAGCAAACCCATCTTGGCGACCCGCAAACGTGCCTTTGCAGGCCATTTCTACTCCAAACTCGTTGCGAAGTGATTTTCGAGACCTACGACTTAATTGTGTATGCACCTAGTGTGTGTTTTTGGGTTGCACTATAAATATATTTGGTCCATTGTATTTTGAGGATCCATCTTTCATTTTTCTACTTTCCCACTTTGGGAAAAGTTTTATTTTTTTATTTTGTTCTCTATTTCTCCCTTGAAGCTTTATGTCATCATTTTTCGACGACTTTTTTGGTGTTCTCGTTTTTGTCCAAGTTCCGAACTTTTGAATCTGAATTGCATATAGCACGCAATAGAAAAGTGGGTATTTACTGTTAAAGCTCATTATTTTGGTTTTTGCTACGTTTTTACTTATGATGCTTATCGAGGTGATTGCTAGTGTTTGTTGGATGATGGATGAAAAGTTTGGACTTTATGTTTTTATTGCTTGCTTGAGTGATGGGATTGATTGCTTGCCTATCTGGATTAAGGTTGAGACTCTATTTTGAGCTTAATCACTTAGGGGTTAGAGTTAATTACCTAGCGCTTAGAACTTGCCAATTTTTTTTGTTATTTGTCTTCCTTTTTATGTCGATGGCATAAAGACTCAGGTAGTTTAATTTCGATATTTGCTCATTTTTGCTTGTTGATTGCAATTGCTCATAATTCTTTGCTTGCTTAGTGTTAATTCAATCCCAAACTCATCTAGTAGTAGACAAAACTCCGAATAGTCTTCATTTAACGACTCGAGGTTGGGTAGCTCGGTTATCATCTACCCCATGATCTACTACTAAACAGGGGGCTTGGACGCAATTTTGGGTCACCGGCAGGAAGGGCTCGCCGTGGGGAACTCGCCAGTGTGGAGGTCTAGCCAGCCGGATATTTTTTTTTTTTAAGGTGGTGTGGAGGAGATGGTGTTGAGCTTGAAAATGCATGAAGAGGAAACAGAATATGGGCTAGAGTTTTGCGTAAACTAAGTGTGGTATATATAGAAGAGGATGAGCTAGGGTTTGTGTGTCTTATTGGGCTTTTAAATTGGGCTCGGTAATTATTTGACTTGAGCTCGAAAAATAAATGTTGGGCTCGCTATATTAAAATACTAATTGGCTCGATAAATAAACCTATAACTTGAATTAAAAATGGGCCGACTAATTGCTACGATTCGAATTAATTTGGCCAGAATGAAAATGGGTCGCTCGGGAAATTAATAAGTTCCTAACTTTGCTAATATTCGACTAAAAGTAAAATCGAGTCTTAGACTTTATATTTTATTTCATTTCCGAAATAAAATTCAAACGTTCTCTCCATGGCTTAGACTTAGTACTTAATTAATTATGCAATTAGTAATAAATAAATTTCAGCATACTTAGGAATTTACTATTTCTGGAAATAAAGTCGAGCTAATATATAAATCTGATTCGGGGCTTACACCTTCAGTGTGTATTGTACGATCGAGCAGCTCGGGCAGCTTTGGGCCGCTAACTCACCACAGTCGGGCAGCCTTCTAGAAACAAGTATCTCACCCCTATATAGGGGTGCAGAGTGTGATTTTATACATTATGTCCATTATACTCTTTGAGAGTTCATCTTCTATACGTACTCATTTAAGCATCGGAGGATCTTCACCGAAGAACTCCTCCGGCGGGAGTTTTTGTAGGTACGAAGCGTTCTACCAGCGAGGAAGAACATTAGCAAACTATTTCCAGCCCGTCGGAGTATTCTATGTTACCTTTATATGTATAATTGATCTTGTACATTATTTGAATTGATATGCTACAGAACGAATATGAACATAACAATTATATTACAAATGAGAGAAATAAGAGAAGTGTTGAAGATAGATTAGAACAAAAAGATTATGAATAATTAAATTGGTGAAAAAACTAAGGGGTGTGGAGGTTGGTACTTATAGATCACAGTTTAGGCAAATTAGTCATGTTGATTTGATCCAGTAGCGTTTTTAGTCTTAAGAATTGAACATTTTTGCTATTTGGTTCTATGATTTTATAATTCAACGCAATTTCAGTTTTTTGGGACTGGAAATGCAACAAAATTTAAATTTACATTACTTAAGTTGCTAACAAAAAATCTTTTGAATGGATTTTTAATTAGCGATTTGTGATCAATGCTTTGTTCCACTCCTTGATTACTTTCTGGGTTTCAAAATACTAAATTACAAGATCAAAAGATAACAACTTAAAATCGTGGGATTAAAAATGCTACGGCGTTAAACCAGCAGGACTAAAAATGCAATTATACCTTAAATTTTACGTATAAATTGTTTGTTTGATTGTTTGTTTTTTTTATCGGTAACCACTAGTTCAAGATTGAACCGTCGGTTCATACAGTTCAAATGCATCCCGACCATTGGATCTCAACGGTCAGATTGTTCCAAGGGTTGATTCTAGTAATTTGACTATCGGATCAAACAATTTTGTTTCTAGTTTTGCGTTTGAGCCGACTCGCCTGAAACCCA